TCGAAAAATATTGATTTTCAAGAATTCTACACTATTTCTACGAAAAGTTGTTTTTTTTCCATATAAAATACATGGAAAATTTTGAGCCCTTTGAGCACTACCTAAATTATTTTTTATTTCAAAATAAAAAAATATGGGTATATTTTTTTCGGTATATAACAATCCTAGCGGGGTGGCGGCATTAAAAATCCGAACTTATTTTTTTTACATACATTTTTGGACCACTTTAATGTACATACATAAAGCTGCGATCAACTAACTAGCGCTGAAATTCAAAATGATATTGTTTTCAACTTATGTTTATTACTTTTTAATAATTTTCATTTAAAATATAATTCAATCTATAACAGAAGCCACATAAATAAAAGTTTCAAAGCTGTCATAGACACCCTTCACAAACAAATTCTAAAAAATCGACGGTAATTTTTAGTGACTTGAAACTGGCACTTTATCAGACTAAAATTGAATGGGTTAAAAACTGCATACCCGAAAATTTTCTAAATATTCTAATTAAAAATTTTAAGGAAAACTTTTCGAAGTTTGATGAATTTTTTTGTAAGTTACGTAAGCTTTTAAAATTGCATTTGTGTGGCTATTATAGATTGAATTATATTTTAAATGAAAATTATTAAAAATAAATAAATAAACATAAGTTGCAAACAATATCATTTTGAATTTCGGTGCTAATAAGTTGATAGCAGCTGTACATACATAAGTAAGGGTTGTCCAAAATAAGTAAAGTCGTTGTCAAAAATGAAGTAAAGGGTTGGTCAAAATAAGTCAAGACAGTTCATCCCCCGCTTTCCCATGTAAACTGAAATTCCCACAAAAAAAGGTCCATTCCCCGATTCCCCACGCAAACTGAAATTACCCGCAAATCGGGGAATTCCCCACGAGTTGGCTTCCCATGGGAAGCTGTTTTTATACCTTTCATGAGCATGAAATGGTATTATAACTTTGGTCCGATGTTTGTAAGTACCAGAACAAAAAGAGATAGACCCAATGAAATGTATACTTATATGATCAGAACGTCGAGCTGAGTTGATTTAGCCATGTCCGTCTGTCCGTCTTTCTGTCTGTCCGTCTGTTTGTATGCAATCTAGTCTCTCAGTTTTCGAGATATCCGTATCAAATTTGGTAGGTGGGTGTATTTTTATAATGTATTAATCATTTGTCGGAACCGGAAAAATCGGACCACTATAACATATAGCTCCCATACAACTGATTGTTCAGATATGAGATTTTTAGTTATAACTTCTCCATTTATGCAGCTACAAACATGAAATTTTGCAGTACTTGCACCCATTATCAACAGAATACTTACAGTGAAAATTATAAAGATCGGGTAACTATAACCCATAGCTCCCATACAACTGATTGTTCAGATATGAGATTTTTCGTTATAATTCATCCATTTATGTAGCTAGGACCATGAAATTTCGCGCTGTTTTCACTCATTATCAACAGAAGACTTATAGTGAAAATAACAAAGATCGGTTCACTATAACCTGCAGACCCCATACAACTGATTGTTCAGATATGAGGTCTTTTATCATAACTCCTCCATTTATGCAGCTAGGAACATGAAATTTCGCACCATTTTCACTCATTATTAACAGAGTACTTACAGTGAAAATAACAAGGATCGGATGACTGCAACATATATCTTCCATACATCCGATTGTTCAGATATGGGGTTTTACTGTAAAACTTCTTTATTTGAACAGCTAAAACCGATAAATTTCGTAAGATATTTTATAAATAATAATACAAAGTCTACTGAGAAAATCATCAAAATCTATGCTGTATAAGCTTTATCTCCTATAGCACTGATTGTTCAGATACCAATTTTTGCCATATATCTCCTTTATGTAGGAAACTAAACCCAATAAATTGTGTTACCGGTTTACATACCGATCACATAGCAGTGAAAATCACTTAGATTGGTGCCATATAAAGTATATCTTCCATACCTCTGATTGTTTAGATGCGATTTTTTATATAAGTATGTAACTCCTCTATCGATGTATGCAGATGTATTCAAAATCAGTAATCTGTCAAACTAAAATTTGCAGATGTTCATGAAAGGTATGAAGCCTTCGGCATAGCCGAAGACAGCGCTGCTCTTACTTGTTACTTATTTTTTTACTGTCTTATCCCCAGTTTCACCAATCAATTTTGCTAATTTATCAGACTGTTACAGCCGGTATCACTAGCAATTTGAATGAAAAATTGTATTTTCAGTCAATTTCCATGTAAAATTTTAAAAAGTAAAATAATTTTTCATTTAAATTGCTTTTGTTAAATTGGCTGCTAAAATTTTAAATTAAAAATTTTTCGAACAAAATTATGTCATTTGAAATTTTAACGGGCTGATAAGTTTAAAATTGTTTGGCACAACCGGGCATTACATTTTTAAATATTTTTATTTTACTTTTTAGATCCATCATTTTTAACTTTCAAAATCTGACTTTACATTTTATAATTATCTTTTATTATTTTTTTATTTTATTTTTTATTAACTCATCCGTGATATTGGATCCGCAATTTTGAATTTTCGAAGCATAACTTCAGATTCCTCCTAAGATTCCTTTAGCCATTTTGAATTTTAAAAATCTAAAATGTTTGAAATCTGAATTGTTTTTTACCAAATTTCCATTTTTCGAATCTATAATCTGTTTTAATTTAATTTAATTTCAATTCATTTTATTTTATATCAGTTTTTTTTTTTAATATATTTCTTATGACTTCTCAATTTTTTAATATGGCACGACAAATTGTTGACAGTATTCGCTTGCATGCTGCCAACGTTTTCACATCCGCTTTCGCTTCAGTGCGCTTT